TAACAAATAAGAAAAATCTCAAATAAGTAATCTTAAACTATATCTAATAGACCTAGAAAAAGAAGAACAAAGGCCAAAGGAACAGAAGGAGGGAAATAGTAATTAGAGTAGAAATAAATGGAATAGAAACAAACAAACAAACAAAACAGTAGAAAGGATCAATGAAACTAAGAGCTGGTTCTTTGAGAAGATAAACAAAACTGACCAATCCTTAGCCAGACTCACTAAGAAAAAAAGAGAGAAGGCTCAAATAAAAAAAATTAGGAAGGAAAGAGGAGAAATTACAATGGATGCCTCCAAAATACAAAGGATTATAAGAGCATACTATGAAAAACTATACGCCAATAATTGGACAATCTAGAAGAAGTGGATAAACATTTAGACTCATACAACCTCCAAAAACTGAATCAAGAAGAAACAGAGAATCTGAATAGACCAATCACAAGTAAAGAGATTGAAACGGTAATCAAAAACTCACAAAAAACAGAAGTCCAGGATCAGATGGCTTCTCTGGAGAATTCTACCAAACATTCAAAGAAGATTTAATGCCCATCTTCTCAAACTATTCCAACAAATTGAAGAAGATGGAACACTTCCTAACTCATTCTATGAGGCCAACATCACCCTGATCCCAAAGCCAGATAAAGACAATACAAAGAAGGAAAATTACAGGCCAATATCTCTGATGAACATAGATACAAAAATCCTCAACAAAATATTGGCAAACTGAATACAGCAATACATTAAAAGGATCATACATCATGATCGAGTGGGATTTATACCAGGGACACAGGGATGGTTCAACATCTGCAAATCAATCAATGTGATACACTACATTAACAAAGGGAGGAATAAAAACTACATGATCATCTCAATAGATGCAAAGAAAATGCAAAGAAAGCATTTGATAACATCCAACATCTGTGTATGATCAAATTCTCAAGAAAATGGGTATAGAATGAAAGCACCTCAACATGATAAAGGCCACATATGACAAACTCACAGCCAACATCATACTCAATGGGGAAAAACTGAAAGCCATCCCTCAGAGAACAGGAACACGACAAGCGTGCCCACTCTCATCACTCTTATACAACATAGTATTGGAGGTTTTGGCCAGAGCAATTAGGCAGGAAAAAGAAATAAAAGGAATCCAAATAGGCAATGAAGAAGTGAAACGCTCACTGTTTGCAGATGACATGATTTTATATACAGAAAACCCTAAAGAATCCATCAGAAAACTATTAGAAATAATAAAAAACTATGGCAAAGTTGCAGGGTAAAAAAATCAACTTACAAAAATCAGTTGCATTTCTTTTTTTTTTTTTTAAAGATTATATTTTTCCTTTTTCTCCCAAAGCCCCCTGGTACATAGTTGCGTATTTTTAGTTGTGGGTCCTTCTAGTTGTGGCATGTGGGACGCTGCCCCAGCATGGCCTGATGAGCGGTGCCATGTCTGTGCCCAGGATTTGAACCAGCAAACCCCTGGGACACCAAAGCAGAGCACACGAACTTAACCACTCAGCCACGGGGCTGGACCCTCAGTTGCAATTCTATACTCTAATAACGAACTAACAGAAAGAGAACTCAAGAATACAATCCCATTTACAATAGCAACATAAAAAATAAAACATCTAGAAATAAATTTAGCCAAGGAGGTGAAACACTTATACAATGATGACATAAAGAAATAGAAAGACATTCCATGCACATAGATTGGAAGAATAAACATAGTTAAAACGTCCATACTACCTAAAGCAATCTACAGATTCAATGCAATCTCAATCAGAATCCCACAGACATTCTTCATGGAAATAGAACAAAGAATCCTAAAATTCATACAGGGCAACAAAAGACCTCGAATAGCTAAAGCAATCCTGAGAAAAAAGAACAAAGCTGGAGGCATCGCAAACCCTGACTTCAAAATGACTACAAAGCCATAGTGATCAAAACAGCATGGTACTGCCACAAAAACAGACACACAGATCAGTGGAACAGAATTGAAAGCCCAGAAACAAAACCACACATCTATGGACAGCTAGTCTTCGACAAGGGAGCCAAGACAATGGAGAATGGCAAGTCTCTTCAATAAACAGTGTTGGGGCCAGTCCCATGGCTGAGTGGTTAAGGTTGCACCCTCTGCTTTGGTGGACTGGGTTTTTACTGGTTCGGATCCTGGGCGTGGACCTAGCAGCGCTCATCAAGCCATGCTGAGGTGACGTCCCACGTAGCAGAGCCAGAAGGACCTACGACTAGAATATACAGCTATGTACCGGGGGACTTTGGGGAGGAGAAGAAAAAAAAATAAGATTGGCAACAGATCTTAGGTCAGGTGCCAATCTTTAAATTAAATAAATAAGTAAATAAATAGCATTGGGAAAACAGGACAGCCACATGCAAAAGAATGAAAGTAGACCATTATCTTTGGCCATACACAAGAATTAACTCAAAATGGATTAAAGATTTGAAGGTAAGATGTGAAACCATAAAACTCCTAGAAGAAAATATAGGCAGAAAAATTGGTCTCAGAAGGATCTTTTCAAATGCTCTGTCTACTTGGGCAAGGGAAACAAAAGGAAAAATAAACAAATGAGACTTTGTCAGACTAAAGAGCTTCTGCAAGGCAAAGGAAACCAGGAACAAAATGAAAAGACAACCCACCAACTTGGAGAAAATATTGGTAAATCATATCAGAGACATGTCAGAGACAAGGGCTTAATCTCCAAAATATATAAAGAACTCATACAACTCAACAACAAAAAAACAAATAACCTAATCAAAAAATGGGCAGAAGATATGAACAGACGTTTGTCCAAAGAAGATATACAGATGGCCAACAAGCACGTGAAAAGATGTTCAACATCACTAATAATCAAGGAAATGCAAATCAAAGCTACAATGAGATATCACCTTACTACACCCGTTAGAATGGCTATAATCACCAAGACGAAAAAGAACAAATGTTGGAGAGGGTGTGGAGAAAAGGGAACCCACGTCCTCTGCAGGGGGGAATGCACACTGGTGCAGCCACTATGGAAAACAGTATGGAGATTTCTCAAAAAATTAGAACTGGAAATACCATACAACCCAGCTATCCCACTACTGGGTATTTATCCAAAGAACCTGAAATCAACTATTCAAAGAGACTTATGCACCCCTATGTTCACTGCAGCATTATTCACAATAGCCAAGACGTGGAAGCAACCCAAGTGCCCATGACTGATCAATGGAATACGACTCAGACATTAAAAAAGACAAAATAGTCCCATTTGCAATGACATGGATGGACCTGGAGGGAATTATGTCAAGCAAAATAAGCCAGACTGAGAAAGACAAACAGCAAATGATTTCACCCATATGTGGAAGATAAACAAACACACGGACAAAGAGAACAGATTAGTGGTTAGCAGAGGGGAAGGGGGGTGGAGGGTGGGCACAAAGATAAAGGGGCGCATAGGTATGGTGACTGACAAATAATAACGTACAACTGAAATTTCACAATGTTATAAACTATTATGACCTCAATTAAATAAAAACAAAATTCTGATGCCAGGGTACACTCCATTTCAATGAAATCAGAATATGTGTGTGGGGGCGGTTAGGATCTAAAGATCAAGATATTTTAAATTGTCCCAAATGATTTCACAGGCGGCCAGGCTGAGAATCACAGTACCAGGACCAACAAGTACAATCACTTTATCTCTTTTGTTCCCATATCTCTCACATAATTTTCCCATAAGACAGCATTAAGGACCCTGACTCGGGGAGTCAACAAGCCTGGGAGTGGCCATGTGAGATTTGGCAGAGTAGTTAAACTTTTGAGGGCTTTACTTTACCATCTGTAAAATGGGGATAAAACCAGCCGCCTGACAGTGCTACTGTGAGGGTCACCCGTTCGACAAGTATCTCTTAAGCCTGCGCTCTGGGGATGGTTTCCTCCATGGAAGCATGCCCGGTTCTGGAGGAGAGGGTGCTCAGCCCAGCTGGAGAACACAGCAGGAGCTCAGTGAACCCACAGCCGCTGTCACTGCCAGGATCTTACCATGCTAGAATTATTGTGTGTCTCTCCCTAGACTTCACGGTCCCCAAAGGCAAGAACTGTCCATCTGAGCTCCCGCTTCCTACAGAGAGCAGGCCGGGCTCCACCCTCAGTTGACTGAGGACAAGAATGGACTTCCCTCTTTTCTGGGAGTCAGAGAGAGGCAGAGTGCCACAGAGGAAAGCCAGCTCCAGACCCTCAGGGGGGATCAGGAGGGCCGGGTGTGTCCCAGGAAGAAATGCTCTGGCCTTCGCCCTCTGTGGAGATATATACACGGTGATGGAGGTGTTGGCTCCATCACGCCTGCCCACAAGCCAGGCTGCCACAGCCAACGCCTTGGGCCACACAGAGGGGTCCTTGTTAACGCTGAAAGGGCCGTGTGTTTCTCTCCCTGCTGGGCCTGCCCTCCTCCCCGCAGCCAAAAGACACAGCCTGCATAGCAGCGGCCGCCCAGCCACATGGCACAGCGGAAACACCCGGGGCCGCGCCCTGTAGGGAGAGGCCAGGCCCTCCCACGGCTCCCTGGCAGTGTTCGCCTGGGCCCCGGCCTGTAACCAAGGTGATGACGCCTCTGTCTGTGCCTCTTTGGGTTTTTTAAGTGCTCTGAGAGGCAGAATTATTCTTCAGCTGAGAGTGGAGCCAACGCCCTGGGATTCCCCAGGAAGGAGACTGAGCTGTCCTGGTTCCAAGTCTTGGCACGCACCTTCCCAGAAAGCCCCTTGGAAACTACACTTCATCATCTGCGGGGTCCCCAATCTGGCTACGTCCCAGAAGAGCTGAAAGAGGCTTCTGCAGCGAGTGCTCTCCTCAGCATTTTGCGGGCTTTGGCCCCAAACTTCGTCTGCCCCCGCCTCCCCATTCCCCCCAGAGCAGGGCTCACATGCGGCTGCTGGGCGGGATCTTGCGGCCCTCCCGGAACCAGGTCACCTGTGGCCGGGGGAAGCTGGCGATGCGAGGGGCGCGGATGACGGCTGCCTCTCCGTGGGAGACGCTCTGGTGCTTCTCGCCCTCCTCGAAGCTCCCCATGTCTGCGGAGAGAAGAACGTAAGTGAGACTCCGGGGCCGGAGGTCAGCCGCAGAGGCTGCCCAGCTCCTGGGCTGGGAGCGGCGGCTGCAGAAGGAACACACGGGGCACATAGGATGACCATGCGGAAGGGGGACACCACCCCACCCTCAAACCCTATTGCCATGCTGTACCCTGCTCTGTGCTTTTGGGGTTCATATCCATTTATATCCAGATATCTATGAATCAATTGATTCATCCAACAACCATGAGAGGTAGGTCATTATTTCCTACATTTTACAATGAAAACACTGCTCAAATGGGCTCAGAGAGGTTCATTGACCTGTCCAAGGTCACATGGCTAGTAAGGGTCAGAGCCAGGCTTTGAACTCAGACCTCAGAGTCTGGCCTCAGGCAGAGTTGTCCCTCCTTCCCAGCCCTACAGTTTGGCAGGGGTTGAGATGTGAGGTGAAGGGCACGTCTTGTGGGGGGGGTCTCCCCTGCCCTTGGTGGGAGGGAAGGGTGGGTAGGCTGAAGAGGTGGGGGTCTTACATGCTCTAAACGGGTGTGATATGATTTCCCTCCTGTCTCCGGGTGGCAAGTGTGTGCGGGTACACGTCTGTGTGAACCTAAATACCTATTGCTCTTTCTGAAATGTGCCATCCCCCTTGGCAGGTAAGGAGGGCACACTGATTCCAGCTCTGATGTTCTGTCGCCAGGAGGGGAGCAGAGAGCAGTGGAGATGCAGCAGGAAGACTTCTGGTTGCCCACCTGCCAGCTGGCATCACAGTGGGTCTGATTCTAATGGAAGGGGCTTGGAGACGGGATGTGGGGAGGGGTGTTGGTACAGAGCGGATCACCAAGACTCTTGAGTGTTGATGTATACTTCCTCACTGCTCAAAGTGTGGTCCATGGACCAGCAGCACGGGCACTGCCTGGGTGCTGGTCAGCAATGCAGAGTCTCAGGCCCCACTCCAGATTTGCTGAATCAGAACCTGCATTTTAACAAGACTCCCAGTGAAGTGTGCCCACACACACGTGTGAGAAGCAATGTTTGTCCTCAGACTTGGCTGAGTGTCAGCAAGAATCACATACAGAGTTAAAGAATGCTCATGCCCGGTCTCACCCCCAAACTTCAGATTTCACTGGCTTGGGGTGTGGGTGTGGGCTGCCCGTCAGCATCCCCACGTGCAGTACCGTTCAGACCACCGACACCTTGGTTTCGTTTCCCCGTGGCCCACTCGTTCCCTCCCTGACCGCGGGGGCCATGCCCTCAGCTACTTGGCCTCCTGCTGCCTTGTTATTTCTCAGCCCCTGGAATACCACCTGCCTCTTCTTCCTCTCCTTCACCCAGGAGACCCCAACCTGGCTGCACCTCAGAATCCCCTTTAATATTCCCAGAGGTAAGAACCTTCTGGGGTGGGTGGGACCTAGATGTGGGTATTTCTACACTGCTCAGGTAGGTCCAGTGTGAGCCAAGGTTGAGAACTACTGTTTGGGCTCCCACCTTACACTTTGGTGGCCTCAGAATCCCCTGGGCATGGTAAGCCCACAGACTTGCTCCCATGCTTCCTCTCTCCCGGGGCGCCGACAGGCCCGGCTCCCCGGCGCCTGGGTCTGAGGTCTTGATTCGCTCTCTGGAAGATCCAGCTGCACACCGAAGTTTGAGAACTACTGGCCGGCACTCTCACTTCCCAAAGCCCTCGGCTTCATTCTCTCCTCGCCTGACCTAATGGGTTTGACCTCAATCTCTCTGCAAAGACTGTCCGTCTGCCCTGGCTCTTCCTTGAGCCCTAACACCCAACACCCAACTTCCAACAGAAAACGTTGGGTATTCTTTACTTCCTCTCCATGCCCTCCTTCCTGCATTCTAAGTTCTGCTAATAGCTCCCCGTCCCACACCTGCCCAGAGCACCTAGGACCAAAGCCTTGGAGCCTTTCCTGGTGCTTCCCGTCCGGGTTCCCACAAAGCCCTTCGGCTCTTCCTCTGGAATATTGCTCTCAATTCCCAAGGCCCCTCTGTTCCCTTAGGTCCCACCAATAAGCTAGCCCATCACTCCAGCTGCATCGACTCCTTCCCCACATGGTCTCCTACATGGGATCCCCTCCCATCCATCTTCTGCACTCTCCTGATTAGTTTTTCTGACCACATCACCGACTTGCTCAGAACCTTTAGGACCTCCTTATTGCCCCAGGAAAGTTTAAATCCCTTTACCTGGATTCAAGGTCCCCCCCCGTCAGACCCCAACCAACCCTGGCTGTCTGAATGCCCGCACCAGGTCATGTGCCTCTCCCGTCATGCTGAGTTACATCCTTCTTCTCCCCTCAGGCCTCTGCCTGGAATGCCACCAGAACAAGCCATCATTTCCCAAGGCTCCACGGTTCAACAGCATCCCAGAGGGATCTGGCCAATTAAATATCTCAAGAAATAAAATGAGCTGTTGGCATCTTTGTCCTCAGTTTGACAGGCAGTGAATGTAATGGTAGGGGCCACTGAGAGCTGAGTTCAAATCCTACTGCTGTTACTTATAGGTATGACCTTGGGCAAAATTTTGGCCTTGCTGAGCTTGAATTCCCTCTTCTGTAAAACACAGTTAAGAAGAGTCCCTTCCTCACAGGTTACAGCCAGGATGACATGACATAATATGTGTGTGTATCAGGCTGCTTCTTTCCAGAGTGGCTGCGTCAATATTTCTCTCCCATCCAACAGGCTCTTCTTACATTATGAGTACCACTGCTCCCACAACAGGTGGGACTAGGTTCCCCCTCCTTGAATCTGGGGATCTGGGGGATTTGTCACTACTCCACCAATAGAATATGCTGGAAGTGACATTACGTGACTTCCAAGGCTATGCCATGAAAAGAATACAGCTTCCACCTGGCTCTCTCTCTCCAAACACTCTTGCTTGGAATCCAGCTCCCATGTCATAAGGAAGCTCCATCTAGCTCACACAGACATGGGCGGCCCACGTGGGGAGGAGCTGAGGTCCCCAGATGACAGCCGGCATCAACACTGTAAGCGTGAACGAACATGTGAGCTCTCAGATAGTCTCTGCCCCCAGCCTTTGGGTCTTCCTGCTGAGCCCTCAGTGACCAAAAGCAGAGACAAGCTGTCCCTACCGTGGTCTGTCCAGACTCAAGACTCACAGAAGCCGTGAGCATAATCAATGCCTTCGTACACCGTTACGTTTTGAGGTAATCTGTGATGCAGACATGGAAACGGGAAGAGTATATCAAAGTGCTGAAAAGCCTACCTACTATTTGTAGTACTAAAGTATTGGAATCCTATACAGCTTTCACAGTTTGATTACCCACCCTCACCCCCAAATAGAATTAAAGAGCAAGAACCTGTTGCATACGGACTGTACGTCAGTTTTCCCTCTAGGGAGATTTCACATTCTTTGTCTCATTCAATCTGCATAATAACACGACAAGCTCAACTTGAATAAATACACATTTTTTAGTTGTTTATTAATTTCTCCTACTTGGCTCTGTTTATAAAAAATTGCATCAATAAATCACGTTGATTTCAGTTCTTACCATGATTTTATACGTTTAAAAAACTCTTCCCAGAACTCTGAAGATATATTTGAACAATTTAAAGCAATTTCATGGTCACAGTGTCTCTTCCTCCTTCCTCTAGTTTTTTTAGCTCCATTTCGTCAGTGAGGAAATTAAAGCTCATGGAGATGGGGGCTTATCCTCCGTGAAGCAGTCAGGGCTGAGCGGGGCCCGCCCTCAAACCCCGCCTCCCTTGGCAAGGCCTCTCCGCCTCTTTCGTGACTCATGCTCTGCATTAAAATTCTCCACGCACATTCTTTATCTCTTTCTACTACATTGTAAGCTTCAAGAGGCCGTTATATTCATGAGAAAATCCCTACAAGACACCTGGCCTCCTCGTGTTCTGCACACAGTAGTTTCTCTCTAAACTCAACCAATGCCATCATGCAATGACTCTTTATTGAGCTCCTACTGTGCGTGAGGTAGGCTCTATGGTGGGGACTGGAGAATGACCTGCTCCTGCCTTTATGGAGCTTATAGTCTGGTCAGGGAGACAGGCATAAGCAAACCAACCCACAGACAAAGATTCAGTGACACTCTGTGACAACTGTTAGGAAGAAGGAACAGGGGTTTCTATGAAAGGCAGGATAAGGGGAACCTACTTTAGACTGGGAGGTGAGCAGAGGCTCCTTTTAAGCAGAGATATAAATAAGGAGTAGATGTTAGCTCTGTGTGTGTGTGAGGGGGAGGGCATGATGGTTCAAAGGGAAGAGAGTATGTGAAGGCTAGGAGGTAGGAGAGAAGGGTAGTTAGACGAAGGAAAAGAATGCCAATAGGGCAGGGTTGTAGGTTTGTTCAGTAGGTGCACGGATGTTTGGATGGATGGACGGATGGACAGATGAATGGATAGTTGGATGAGTGAAGGGAGGGAGGGGTGGAGGGAGGGAGGGATGGAGGGATGGACGATTGTATGCATGTATGGATGGATGTATAGTTGAACGAGTGGAGGGATGAACAGGGGAGAGAGGGAGGGATGGGAGGATGAAGGGAAGGAGAGATGGAGAGAGAGAGGGATGGATGATTGTATGTATGTATGTATAGATGGATGAGTGGAGAGAGCAAGGGATGGATGGAGACAGGGACGGGTGGATGGATGGAGGGATGGATGTTTGTATGTGTGGATGGATGGATGGTGGGATGGATGGAAGGATGGTGGGATGGATGGATGAAGGAAGGGCAGAGCTGGCCTTAGTCCAAGTTTTGCAGGTGACATTCTCCTCCACCTTTCCACCCCACAACCTCCCCACCTCACTGTGGCTCTTAGGCCCCTAGTACCCTCCCATTCTCTCCACTCCACTTTGTCAAATGGGCTTCCTAGGTCTGCTCAGGGAGCCCCTTGCCTCTGCTCACAGGGCCCAGGGAACAGGCCCGTATGTCCTAAACTGCAGCAGCAAGGGGCTGCTAAGAGGGAGTCCACTCAGTGCAGGAGAAGCTGAAGAAAAGGAGGGCCACACAGGGACAGGGGCTGGGGATCCAGGATCTCCCAGGACAACTCACTCACACTGAGATAAAAAGAGATAAGGGTTTATTTACTACACTTTTTCTCCAAGGTACATGCTTGCTAATACACCATGTTATGCCTTGGAGCACTGATCCAACTTTCCTAACAAATTCCCTCAAGAGCAAAAAAGTGTGGGCCTGCGGCACAGCTGGATGTGGCCTAAAAATTATTCCTGATGTCTTTGTTATATCCTAAGAGGTCTCGTAAAGCATACATTCTGCTTCAGAATATGTTCATTGCTTTTATTTATTTTTAAAACATTTTTTATCGTGAAATATGTCATGCACACAAAAGAGTGAATATAATTATATGTATAGTTTAGAGAAGAAGAATAGAATGAACACTCACGTACCTGCCACCCAGCATAAGGAATAGAACACTAGCAAACCTTGTCCCCCTCCCCATGATGTCCCTCCCAGTCACATCCCCTCCTTCCCCAGAGGTAACTGCCATCCTGAATGCGTGTCAATCACGCCATTGTTTTGGTTTTGTTTTTTCAAGTTTCACCACACATCCATGCATCCACAAAGAGTTGAAGGTTCATTTGGTCTGTTTCTAAGCCTTTATACCTGGGAGTTCTGCATCCTCTACTGTGATTTGCTTTTCGGGTGTCACCTTTTGTTTGGCACTCTGACCATGTCCTCACTCCTGGTTCAGGCATTTTCGCGCTGTGTGGGTGTCCGTGTATTGAGGGAGCCCAGTCCTGCTGTAGATGGGGTTTGTTTCCGCTGTTTTGCTGTCCTGCTGAGAACAGTCTTATGGGGGTCCCCTGGCTCACACGGCTAAGGGAATCTCCAGAGCATGTGCCTGACAACGGGATTGCTGGGGTGTAGGGGTGCACATGTTAATTTTACGAGATCATGCTGAACTGTTTTCCAAATTTGCACTAATTTCCCAATTCACACTCCAACCAGCAGGGATGGGAGCTCCTACCAATACTTGGTCTTGCTAGACTTTTTGGTTTTTGCCAATCTTGTGGGCATGGAATGGTATTTCATTGTGGTTTTGTATATTATGAAAACAATGCTTCTCTCTCTGATCAGATCCTATCTATGCCTCTGCCCACAACCATCCGTGACTTCCATGCATTCTGAGTAACATCTGAAGTGCTGACTGCATCCTAAAACACCACTGTCTGTCCCCACGCCCCACCTCCTCAGCCATATCTCCTTCCATTCTCTACTTCCCTCACTCTGCTCCAGCCACCCTGCCCTCAGACACCCAAGTCTGCTCCAGGGCCTTTGCACTTGCTATTCCCTGGCCTGGAAAGACCTTATCCCTTTGTATGCATGGCTCACCCCTTGCTTCCCTTGAGACTCTGCTCAGTGTCACCTCCTCAGGTGGCCTTCCTCAGCCACCATATCGAATAGGACCCCTGGCCCAGCCTCCATGTCTCTCACCTGCTTTCATTTTTCCTTATAACACTTTATTTTTCTGCGTGGGCCTTCTATACTCTATTATATATTCTCCTTTTAACTTCTGTTGCCCCTACTACTTTCCTCGAGGGGAGGGACGTGTGTCTTGGTTTTGTCCCCTGTGCCCTCACCGCCTAGGACAGAGCTGAGCATGCAGTGGGTGTACAACAACAGTTGTTTCACGAGTGAGTTAAACATGCAGGTAAATTGGGGGCTCCAGAAAGACACAGGAATGTTTTTCTGAACGGTCACATGGCCCCTAAATACTCTACATTCAATATTCACACTCCCACTGAGAATTAAGAAGAACGGGTCCATTGGTGGCATTTGGGGCATCAACCCTAGCCCGTGTGACAATGGGCTCGATGCCCTCAACTCCTTTTTGCACGGGTGGCTGCCAGGCTGCCAGGTAGAATGGGCAGCAGGCGAGGCCCCCTGACGGGCCGGGGCCCTTTGCCCTGTGGTGTCTGCCAGGCTTGGAGCTGGGGGGTTTCAAGTCTGAGCTAACGGCCAACTGGGTGAGGGCTGAGGGAGGGGCCGGGGATGTGGCCCAGGTGAGGAGAACAGAGAGGTGCCCACGGGATCTGGATGTGGACAACAGGCGGCCTCCGGGAAGCTGTGGACCCGACAGGCTCTCCCACCCTCACAGCCTCTCAGCCCAATTGCCGCGCGCCAGAAATTTATGGCGACTTTAAAAAAAACAAAGAGACTCCAGGGTGGGGGCAAGAAGAGAGCTGGTGGGGCGGGGTGCTGATGTTTATTGACTTCCCCCTTAATTGCTGTAATTAAAAACATGCAAAGAATCTTTTTGTAACGACTTTGCCATTATCATGAGTTGTTAACACAGCTGCCGTATTAATTTCTCATTAGAACTCAATTCATAGTCCCTCCTTGGGAAGGCGGGTGGGAGCCGGGGTGCGGGGGTGCTGCCTGGCCAGATCCCAGCCACCAGGGGGCCTGGCTGCTTGGAGCCCCA